AGCTGCGAGCCACCAGCTTGACCCAGCAGTGGAAGATACTGTGATGAAGAGCTTATCTGCACACGAAGGAGGAAAGAGCTGTTTTCCTGGAGGACACCACCACAAAAGGCCAAAGATGGGGGAATGGGAAGCGAGTTTCCCATCCCTGCAGCTGGAGGAGGACAGAGCAACACAGGGAGAAAGCCCAGACTGACCTCAGCCAGCAGGGACTTCACTGAAAATACGGTGGCATCAAAAATACGTTAGCAGGACTGGCCCATGCACCAGCTGGGCCCCGTATTCGCAACCCAACCGCTTATCAAACCTGGATTTTGAGGCCGGCGGTGAGTGCAGAACCAGCTGCAAAGCTGGGGTGTTTCTGCAAGGCTTTGTGCTGGCTTTATCAAGCTGACAGGCCAACGCTGTCACTGTGAGCAGTATTTCTGACAGAGGGTTTCCGTGTCCCCCACTCTGGGGTACCACCACACTAGGAAAAGAGACCCCAACAGCAACGACAGAGCATTTCCAGGCCTTACTGCAAAAACTAAGAGTCCAACTGTACTTCAGAGCTAGACAGTGCATGCAAACTCTGACCTGTTTCCTGCTTCTCCCTCTATATACACATTTGTGGAGCAGGGATAGAAGACACTCCACAAAGCTGCAATGGAAACAGACCTTTGCGCTATTGGGAGACCTCAGTTACAGTTTAGCCTCATCATTGCCTACGTAGATGTTTTTTTTTCTTCGCCAAGACAGAATTACCTGTTTCTAAACACCATGATCTTTAAAGAACTTGCCTGACTTCATGGCGCAGCTGCCCTGCACCAGGGCTCCAGCCGCAACTCGTCCACAGCAGCATCCCCAGCTCATTCCTGACCCGCAGAGCTCTGGTGTTTGCAGGGTTTCAGATGGAGAAGGGCCTGCACCGCCCTGCACGACCGCAGCAGCTCAAACCATAGCGTTAATGCTAGAACGTAGCTTCATTCCACCGCGAAGACTACGCACAGGACCAAACCCGAGCGCGGGGCGGGCGGCCGGGTCTCCTCTGTGGCTTTGCTCCCGTCAGGCCATCCCTCGGCTTCCCAGGCTCTCCGGATGCCGCGAGGTGTCCGAATATCCGCTGATACTCGAGGGGAACGGGAGCTGAGCGCCCTCCTCGCAGCCCAACCGCCTGCCCGTTCCCAGGGGAAGGGCCGGGAGCAAGCCAGGAGCGCGGCGCTCCAGGAAATCCTAACGAGCCTCAGCCGAGGCACCGGGAAGAGGGTCCATTTCCGACGCCAACGCGAGCCGAGGAAGCGAGCGGAGGAAAAGAGGGGAGAACAGAGGAGCCAGGGAGCGGCGGCGCGAGCTGCTGCTTCCAC